TCAGGGGTTTAGGGGTTCAGGGGTGTACTGGTTTAGGGGTTCAGGGGTTTACTGATCTAGGGGATCAGGGGTTTGGGGGTTCAGGGGTTTACTGATTTAGGGGATCAGGGATTTACTGATTTAGGGGATCAGGGGTTTGGGGGTTCAGGGCTTTAATGGTTTAGGGGATCAGGGGTGCTGGAACACAGTAACCTCGTGATGTTCCAGGTGGGGTGCAGCAGCAGGCGGGGGGAGGACGAAGCAGACGAGGTCGGCCTCCTACCCCTCCTCCGACCTGACTGGCCTGGGGTCCCGCCGTGCCTCAGCGGAGGGGGCCCCCGGGCCCCCGGATCCGGCCCCGGTCTGCGCGCCCGGGACAGGAGGGAAGGAGCAGAGGCTGAAGGAGCTGCACCTGTATACATTGTCTGCCTCCTCTCTCTTCTACCAGCACCTGAGGAGCACCTGGGACAGCTACGTCATAGTAAGTGGACATCGGACAGGTCGCACATAACAGCCCCGCGGCCCTGCTTGGCCCCTTTCCAAGTCGGTAGCTAATTGATCCCTGGATCTTGTCCAGCTGTGCCTTGAGCAAAGCCAGGGTATCGACTCTAACAACATGGCTGGGTTGCTTGTTCCACTCTCCCACCACCCTTTGTGTAAAGAACAGCTTCCTGCCCTGACCGGAGGATCTCATCCAGCTGTGTCTGGAGAGAAGCCAGGGTATCGGCTTCAACCACAGGGCTGGGCAGCTTGTTCCCCACCCCCACCCCCCTCTGTGTACAGAAGAGCCTCCTGTCCTGACTGGAGGAGCTCACCCAGCTGTGTCTGGAGAGAAGCCAGGGTATCGGCTCTCACAACACGGCTGGGTTGCTTGTTCCACTCTCCCACCACCCTTTGTGTAAAGAGGAGCCTCCTGTCCAGATTGACGAATCTCATCTAGCTGTGTCTGGAGAGAAACACCCGCCACCCTTCGTCAATCCCCGTTCTTGGTTTTATATATACTTTCACAAGTAATCTGATGGGTTGACCTTGTTGGTCCTTTGAGGGTTTTGAAAACTTGTGTCAGCTCCCCTGATACAAGGAGTCATCCGTCTGTTAGTTCTGCCAAAGTATGCATACCCTGGGTCCCCTAAGAGTATGTGTCCAGAAAGTTATATTGCTCTTGAACTCTGATGTCTGATCTCTGTGTGTGCAGAAGTCCACTCTCCTCTGCAATCTCTGTCCTCTGTGTGCTTGCAGAAGTCCACTCCCTATCTGTGATGTCGGATCTGTGTTTGCAGAAATGTGCTCTCCATCTGTAATTTCTGATCTCTGTGTGTGCAGAAGTCCGCTCTCCACCTGTAATGTCTGATCTCTGTGTGTGCAGGAGTCCGCTCTCCATCTGTAATGT